AAGCAACATTACTCTATTTGAATTTTCAAACACTCTATGAATAAGTACTTCAGGGTTCAGTTTCTGTTCCCTGTCGTCAGGTCTTTTTTCTTGAACCACGTTAGCTGAGCGTCCTTCAGCTCCAGCTGCTGTTACTGACGTAGTGTTGATGGAGACAGTGGTGTAAAATGAGGAACAGAGCTGAGTGTTTCCATTACATTTGTATTAGTGTTCACTTTAATTACTAACTGGTCACAAACATTTTTCTTTCTTTTTCTTCAAGTGTTGGCATTAATATGATATCATATTTAAGTTAAATAATTAATATTTTATCTGTTAAAGAAAAAAAAATATTTTCATGATCTCAGAAATTTTTGCTTCTTTGTAAATTGGCAAAGAGTTTGTTTTATTGGTGCTCTTCCAAAAATATTAAAGTGGTGTGTTAAATCAAATGTGTTTTAAAGTTTGTTTAGAGAGCAACATCACCCTCTGCTGGTTAAAGAAGACACGGAACATTTTCTACTTAAATTGTCTTGCACTGAGGAAAAGTCATACTTTCTCTTCTCTAGTGCAATGACCTAAAGTAAAACATGATTTGGGAGAATATTTGTTATTTATGTGACATTGGTGAGTTCTTTTGTATAGATATCAATTTGATATTTCTCCGGGGTCAATCTTTTAGGGTTACAGACAGTAACCACGCAGTTAACCAACTGGGGTGCACTGATGGATTGGCCAACTGATCATCTGCAACAATTTCCTTCATTTTGCAGGATCGGTGATCGGCCAATTATTTTATGTGAAACCGATCTTAGTTACTGATTCCATGTAACTCCACAAATGTGTGAAAGTGAGCCACCGCCACTTCTACTCTTCCGTGAGAGAGGGCTGACTGACAGGCTCATCCACCCGTTTTGTCTGCAAGTGAAAAATAAATATTTTGAAACTTATTTTTTACAAAGAATTTGTTTTTTTTTAATTTTTCTTAAATATTGTATTTTTACAAAAAAATCAAAAACTTTCACCTTCTGACCAACATGACACATTAGTGTCTCCGAAAATAAAACTTTCTCAAAAACGACTAAACATACACTAATTTGTCTTAAAATATTGTAGTTGATGTTCTTATGATCCCAAATCAAAGACAGGAACGTCGAGGCGCAGTTACGCGTTGAACTGAAACTGTGTTTTTATTACAAAGTGAGCAAGAACAAGAAAGAGAGTATACAGAGTACATTCAAACAAAACAATGTATGAAACGAACTTACAGAGACTTTTCTCTGGAGTCATTGCCGATCTAGTAGCCTGCCGGTTACCCAGGACCTATGCCAGGAGCGCTGACTGACTGACTGTCCCGGGATCTCTGGATTTTGGTTTTTTCTCCATGACCTTCCTTTGCAGGTACGTTACCATGGCAACCATAGAGCGCCTCCCTCTTCTGCTGCACATGTTCCACAGGTCACATACAGTTTAAGACAAGCACTAGATGTATATTATCAGAAACAGTATTTCATACAAAGCTCCCACATAGTTTAAGACAGGGAATATGTATATATCATAAGAAAAGTAAAAACACTTGGAAATAATAATTCAATATGTAGAAACAACCTACACACATCTTAGGTGTCAAAAGCAGGTGGTTAACTGTTCTTTGCTTATAAACTTTTGTTTGATTAAACCTTCCGAGTCATCATTTATGGACGTGTTCAGTTACAGCAGAGCCGTAATATCCCTACAATACTTAGCTATGTGCATTTTTGTGGTTAAAATTCAGAAAAATATACTTTTTTGGTACGACTTTTTTTAAAACTTTTTTTTTTATTAACAATGAACAGTAACAATCAACAATCCCTGACATAAGATCTTTACAAATAGTAGGTACATGTTAGCAACATTTATAAGAGAAAACAGTTTCACATCCTACACAGCAATAGTAAGAAAATATGACATTTGAGACATTTAGCCCAGGCATCCACAATCCATTAGCAGGTAGTGACGTAACCCGCCTGGCGTTGCTTTCCTGTCTTGGTGAATGTGTGTTCGCTCTGATGTGTGTAGATACATGAGTGTGTGTGTGGAGGACGTGCTCTCAGCTGGTGGATTCTCCATCTGTCTTAGTTTTTTCCTGGAGAGCTCATGTTTTCCTCCTGTCCTGGAATAAAACCTTTCCATCAGTCAGACCTAACTTTTCATCCTTATCCTGGTCCCAGGACTACCGCTCCTCTAGGAGCTAATATACGCTGTCCTTCTGCTTAGCTAAAGGTTAGCTCAGATGCTATTTTTGTTTTCTGGTCAGCCAGCCAAAGTAATAACTCTTATTGTTTCCTGTCTTGACTACAGTTACTGGAACTGTTCACTCAGTGGGACTGGTCCACCTTCCTGGCCGACTATGGAAAACCCACCTGTAAATACCTGAGAGTCAACCCTCACACAGCACTCACCCTGCTGGAAAAGTAAGAAACTGCACCTCCCCACACTCCCTTAATTCTTTCTTATGCAATGTCACCACTTCTGTCATGATAACATTTAAACTAAGCTGTGATGAAGAAGAAAGTGTTCTTCAAATATCGGAACTCATTTTCACCTTTCTCTCTGGGAATATATGAAAATATAGAAACAACAAAAACAAAAAGAAAAAAAAAGATTCAAACTCGTCTACACCGAGAAACTCATCTGCAGCAAAAATTTGAAAATGGGATGTTTGAACATACAGTGTATAATTGTAAACACGAGTTCTTATCCTGCTCTTCATCCTCTTTCATTTGACAGGTTATTGAAGCCGTGAGTAGTTCCTAGTGTGTGCATGTGTGTGAGCCTGTGTGTTTCTGCGTGTGTTTTTTGGCATGTGTATTTTTCTGACTAATGTAAAATGTGAGGACACCAGACAATGAACTAATGAATACTCACTTTGATACGGTGTATATTTCAGTTATAACAACTATGATGTGAAATATACTTTGACACACACATTAATGGAATCTTTAGAAATGTTTAATGAAAAACTTTTATACTCAAACACACTCTTTTTTGACCTCCAGGATGAAGGAGAGCAGCAGGAGGAGCACAGTCTTCGCTCAGTTTAAGAAGACGGACAGAGATCGGCAGAAGCTCATCGACACGGTGGTCAAGCAGCTCAGGAACCTCATCTCTCAGCAGCACTCCTAAATGGCCGACTCCCAACCATGTGACTGCCCCAGAAGTTATCAGTGATTTTAGTCTGTGAGCAAAAATCATAGATTTGATGCCACTTTGTTCAGTTGCTGGGGTTTTTTTTTAATTGTTTGTTTTTATTTGCAAAACGTTTTTGGACTGATGCACTGTATTTGATGTTACATTAAATCCACTAACACTTCAGAGGAATACAATATAAATAAAGGTACAGTTGGTAAAAAGTCACAAATACCTGTTCACTATTTTTGTGTTTGAATCCTTTTTGTCACCAAGGTCTGGCATAACTTCGACAAATTATTTTCATGCATTGTTTTATTTGCACATTTTGTGACTTTGGAGTTTCTGGTACTTTTTAATTTCAGATTTTTTTGCAGGTATCACAGTGCAGTGCATGTTTTTAGAAATGTATTTCTAGAATCTTTCTAGAAAGATGTAATCATTACTGCTCACATCTTACTTAGATTACTTTACTGGCCCAAACAAATGTCTACCTCCAGCTCTGCAACTTTGGTTGTTTGGTCACAAAAATGTTGTTTAAACACAAAATATTCACTTGGC